AGAAATATGAAAAAAGAAAAAACTTGAGTATTGGGATTCGAACCCATGACCATAAAATCGAAAAAAGGTTGGGACGATTCCCCCGAGACATTCTGTGAAGCTGAGGCGGCGAATCGATTTACATTCCGGTTAGAGATTTCGGCTCTTCCATGCTATCCCGATAATTGGTCCTAACTTCGCGCTAACTAAAAAGCCAGTGAGGGAGAAGCTATCCGGCCCCTAGACACTGATGGATAACCCCTTGCACTAACTAGGCAACTATCGAAAGTATAATGTCAAATTGGGGTAGTCTATTCGGTGAAAGTGCCAAGTGGTCTATTATTATGTAAATGAACGTTGTCCAGTGGCGCAACGCGTTAAGGCGCTGCTTGCAAATCCAGTGTAGGTTTGACGGTAGCGGGATCGATTCCATGGATGAGACGTTTACTGATTGTGTATTTTCATTTCTATTTTATTTATTGTTTATCTTCTTTATTTATTTTTTTATTTTTTTGTGTTTGGCACTTTCCTGAGAACCGACTTTTTTTTACGAAGTGGCTTTATGATCGGCTCCCACTCAAAGTCTTCTATGTACTAACATACTAAATGAGTGCTAGTTTTGTTTTGGAGATTATGTCGGTACATTTGTACCGCTCATTTAGGAGGGTCTCAACGGGGTGGTACGCATCACTAATTAAAAATTTGGCGATTTCACGACTCACGCCTCGAATCACGGTTAACTAGATAACTTTCAGAAATKBTYRRAATACSTTTTTCATTACTTTTTCATAATTTGTTTTGTGCTAGAGATAGTGAGTGTGGTAGCACAGTGTTCCCTTGTACGTTATAGACACTTAGTTATTATAACTTTTTATCATCACACTCACATGTCAAATTTTGTAAACAGTCGAAAGCAGCAAAAAACATTCCCGCTTTACAAACTTTTACTCGACGCGAGGCGGCCTTTTCCCGCCAATGGCCAAGCGGTCAACAATCGTCAAACTGTTGACAGATCAGTCAACAGTTGATTTTAGCTCCGGACACGTGACGACGAATCGTCCAAAAAGAGAGCGAGAAAACAGTGAAAATAATTTACCAATATAAGTGTTCTTCAAAGAGGTTGCTCATTTGACGTTGTCCTTGCTATCTGTCTTTAAAGATATTGGATTCCAATATACCAAACTCAAATCAAGAGCTAGATCTCCAAGTTTGCATGATCAAAATCTAAAGTTGTTTCCCGGTTAATGAATTTATATTCGGACAACTGTCTTCGGTAGATCGGACAAGTTTCGGTTCACTTCATTCTTGCATATTTTACATGAATTAGCTAGAGAAGCAATTAATGGGAGCAATGTGACATTACCTAAGGTTACTCCAAACAAACAGCAAGTGAAATTTGTCTCTTTTTGGGAAATTCACTAGTTATACAAGTGAACTGACTAAACAAAATACGTATCAAAGTCTAAACATT